AGGGTTTTCGGCATGTTGTGCTTACTTCCTTGCGTACGGATGACAGCTGCGTATGAATTAATTTATTTTCTGGTGCTTTCACTTCCAGAGACAGTTGTAAGCACTGTGTAACTGCCTCGAGGGTGCTTGACCATTTTAACACAACGTGGTGCGATCATCCCCCTTTCGCGGAGTGAGGGTTCTCCACCCCGCACAACATGATCTACTCGACCACCATTATGGTTACCGCCAAAAAAAAAACGGAGGTAAAAAAAAAAACCCGGTAACCTGGTTGCCGAGTTCACGAAGTGAATTGGCTTGTTTTACAACGTCTTTGCCAAGCGACGAAAACCCAATCCCGATGGCAAACACCGGCGGGGGCGGCTTGTTTTACAACGTCGTTGCCAAGCGACGAAAACCCAACCCCGACGGCAAACACCGGCGACACGGGGGGTATATAGGGGGGGGGGGGATAGTAAGAAGAGGAACTCGTGCAGAGTTGATAGAAGACGAAACGTCAAGAAAATTGCGAGTTCACCCTCTGAACGCATGCAAGTGAATCGGACATTCAGACAGCCCTCTTCTGTCTCAAAGGCAGTGTGTCGCGGGGTTGGTCCAGCAGCAGTTGATCGTCAGTATGCAAGAACAACCGCATCCGCACCTATCGAGCCTTTGCTTGTGCGGCCCGCACGTAGTGCAATATCTGACGCAATAGGTTGCGTGCACGTTCTTCGTAACCCTTAGCAGTGCACTACTCAATGTTGCTACAGCAGTAGTCTCAAGCCCCGACAACAGCAGTGTAGTGCTCACCCAGGCCGTTGCATGCACCTTGCCAGGTTGAGGCGGCGCAGACTTGCCGCACGAGCGTCAACCATGTGACAAGGACCAACAGCAGCAGTCCACACTGCAATCGTTTGGCAATAGCAACCCACAGCAGCAATCGTGCATGATCCATACCTTCTCTACGCCGCCATCTCCGTTCTCTATCTTGCCCTGGTTACTCCTTGTGGCAGGCTGGTGAAAGTCCGGCCCTCGAACCTTCCGGTACTGCCGCAGGGCCCGAAGGAGACTTGCCTCGTTCATCGCGCGAAAACGGTCCTACGCCACACAAGCATCCAATACGTTCACAAACACGAATCAACCCAGCTGTGAGGGGATCGGGAAAAGCCGTGTTGGCAGGCAGACAGAGAGGACAAGGACGCTGGACAGGTTACCAGCCGGCAGGGCAGTGAGCCATGACCAAGGCAGCGCCTTTGTCGGGGGTAGCTAGTCGGGGGAATTGAGGTACTGCTGTATGCTGCGCGGAAAATGATGTTCGCGTGCCCCCACTGGAAACCCCGCCAGTCTGAAACGGCTCGCGAAAAGTAGCCACTCACCTTTCGACGTTTCGACCACATTCGATCGACCACGTTGGCGACGACGAGAACGAAACCGCAGGTTAAACACAAAGGCTAAGAGCTAGATTTCTTGCCCATACTTTCCCCAGTCAATAATTATTTGCAGCATTCGCCATTCGGGACGAGAAAGTTCTCAAGTACAAGTTGTATTTTTTGCAGCGAACGCGAGCTTGGTGCTAACATGAGGGGGAAAATAAGCGGCTCCCCAGTTCGAAGTGTGGCAAAGCATACTGCTGTTCTCGACACGTCTTCTACTGCGGTCGGCCAGCAAAAAATGGCTGGCATGTGATCTTGACCAAGTCGTTATTTCAGCGCCAACAAGGTTTTGTCTCCATGAGCAAGGGATATCTGACGTCGCGAGATGAGGACGAAGAATACTTCTCAGCCAGCGATGGCGATGGGCGGAATATCTCGCCCTCGCAATCTGGGGATGAAATGTCATTGGCACAGGATGGAAACTATCAAGACGAACAAACGTGTGGTGCCGTTCGCACCGATGCGGGTGTTGCTAACGACCGCAGCAAGTGCGTGAAGACAGACGCGGGGCACCAGTTGCCACCGTTCGTGAATGCGGCACACCATGCTGCAGATGAGGCGGCACATGTAGCAGGATTGGGACCTGGACACGATGAGCTGGTTGCAGCAAGACACCCAACCATGGAGACTCGGTCGCCTGCAGTTGGCAATTCCAGTAGCTCCCACTTTTGCAACGCCGCCGAACCAGGTGGTGTGAAAGAGCCCACTACCGAGCGTCAAGAAGCAGCCACCAACGCAGAGCCAGAAGGCTTTCCGGAAGTTGGTCGAGGTTGTATCGAAACGGGTTCTGAGGCCAATGGCGAGTTGATGGTGGACAACAGCCGCACAGAAAATGAGGCAGGGACGACGGCGGAGAAGGTCGATGAAGTTCATGCTGTTGCATCTTTTGGGGCCTTCTCTGTGTCTTCCCTCAAGTTTAGAGTGGCAGAGGTGAGGCTAGGTCATAGCTTGTAGACTATAGGAAGCTTGACGCAGCAACCTTTCTGTACTTGGCTCCGTGCAACTGCTGTCACCCAGCCTCGCCCATGAGGAAGCATGCAAAAGGATTATCACATTTTTTCAGAGGTCTGGTGAATTTTTCCACCACTTTCACTTGTGGCGGATTTTCAGTTTGGTAGATAACGGTGGCGCGAAGCATGCTTCAAGGAGCAAGTAGCGAATTTTCCCGAACGACGGCAATCAATCATGTATTCCGACTTTCAAATTACTTTCCCCAACAGCACTTTGTATTTTACAAGTCGAGCGAATGACCGGAGTTTTGATTCTCCATCCGTGACCCCAAAATTGCGCGTCTCAGGACCTCGATGGGGCAGAAAGACCAATCGTCATTCGCTTGAGCGACCAGCATGGGAACCGCCGAGAAACAACCCCGCGGACCTGTTCCAATGTCAACCCTTTGGCGCCGAGCGATGGCAGGGCTACAGTGTGGTGCGGAGAGCTTCAGGCGAGTGCATGTATCGATGTGGTGGATGACACGTATCCTGCATGGGAGACTTTCGTACCCTTTGGATCGGGTATGATGTGCTTGGTCACGACAACAGGTGCACTTCGTCCCCCCACCGTTGTATTGAACACCGAGCCGAAAAGCATTGTGCGAAGAGCATCACTTTTCATCCCTGTTCTTGGACAAATAAAAAAAAAATCTGCGATGTGTCATTCGAAAGACCTTCTCAGTCGATGTCGACAAGAAAGCGTCTGTTGCCCCTCGGCTGGTTTTTCTCCGTACGCCAACGAGATGGAGACCATTGTATTCGTGTCGTTTTCTCCACCCTCCAGATGCCCATTCTTTCCGGTGTGGACGCGATTCTCTTCGAGATTTTTCTCGTAGCCAAGCCTACCTACACCAACCACGGATGCGGCAATCCCGAGACGACGAATACCATCGGAAGAGGCGGCAGCGTGCCCACGTGGCGCGACAGACGAGGACCCGCCAACGCTGCGGACCACCACCGCGAACATCAACAACTTTCAGGGTCGATCGAAAGGGGTTGCAAAACACCCCGAAGCTGGGGATCCCAAGTTGATCCGAAGCGAGAGTCCCAACCCTACGCTCTCATTGGCGCCGTGGCGCTCCTGCTGTCGGAGGTCGTTGGGGCGTGGCGCACGATGGAGTCGCCGTTGTTCGATATCGCGGGCGGCGTTACCGGCAGGATCAGGATGGCCGCCAGAATTGTCGGGCGACCGAACTCAGGGCCTGGAGGACCTCTGGAGGGCGAAAGGCGTCGAAGCCGCGGAGACGCAAAGAGAGGTGAACCTTCATCAGCGTTTGAAGGTGATGGCTGCACGCCAACGAGACTCCCGGCGGCACAAGTAGCAGAGGCAGAGCGAGGCGGGCCGTGCGGCTGCCGTCGAGAATGGGATTGTTCACCTACATCGCCCTGTTGCGGTCGCCAGCATGGAAGAAGAGGACGAGGAGCAAGCGGCAGCAGGGGCGGGCTTCCTTCATTCTCGCGCAGTGAAGATCCAGCGGAGGCTGCTGCTGAGCAAGGCGACTTGCTGGGGGGGGCACCAGCAGCGGCGAAGGTGTTGTGCTGTTCGAGGGTAGGGACAGACGAGACGGTGCCTAGAGCGGTGATACTCTACCACGGGATGAAGCTCCCCTTCCGATGGCTCAGGAGCGGCACAGCAAGGTCGATGGATAAATCCCTCCGAGAAATGCTTGGTGAGTAGCGCATGTGCTTGAAGGGGGTTGCTCCGGTCGATGGAACGGGGTGGCACTGATCACGGCTTTCTCAGAAATACTCTTGGGAAGAAATTCTACCGTGTTAGATTGACACCACCACCCTTGTGACCTGTCTTGTTGCTTTGACATTGTTTTGGCCTACAACCAAACGCGTTCTGATCGGGACAAGCATACTGGTACTGAAACGGTCGTCTTTCGGACACCATCCCTCACAGTTATGGTCCCGACGATGTGCGTAGGGAAATTCGAACTTCTCGCATTGCCTGTCCTTGACGTCAAGCTGCATTCCTCGGAAAGGCTGGCGGTACGTTTTGAAAGGCGCAACGCTTTTTCAAGCGTAAAACGTTATAGAGCGTTCTCTATCTGGAGCGATTGTGTTCCAGAAGTATTATTTAGGTCTCAGCAGCGGCCATCCACTCTACGCCTCCCCCTTCCTCACGCCGCTTCCATCTTCCTTTCTCCGGCCTTTCGACGTGCTATTCCTGCTCCTCGCGAGTGCATCTCCTCCGTCACGAACGACCAACCAAGTCCTCACTCGCTAACTTCCATTATCCGCTGCTTGTCTCCCCCCCCTGAAAACACGCCCCATTCCTCGCTGGCTCGATGTCGCTGGCTTGTTGGTTTCAGGCATCAACGACACGTCCATCGCGTCCCCAGCATTGTACGACGTAAGCACCGGTGAGCACGTGCGTCTCGATCCCCGCAATGCTTCCGGACGCACGCTTTTGGCCGTTTCTGAAGGCGATTCATCTTTTTCGCCGCAGCACACCCGCTCTTCGCGGTCCAGCCAGCGAGTCGGAGGTGGGGAGAACGCCGCAGGGTTATCAACCTCGAAGAACGCATTCACGCACACAAGCGGGCGAGATGAAAAACGCTTCTGCCGCCGCTTCCGCTGCCGCCGACGTCGACACGACACAGCTACTGGATTTGGGCACGATGACGGTCAGGGTCTACGACTACAGCTGTCCCTCGCGAGGACAAAAGTCTGCCCGAGTGAAGCTCCATCCGCTATTCGGAGGAGTGCCTCTGACGGGAGCTTGCGCTGCTTCACCCAACCCGCCGTCGTCACAACAACTGCCGGGGACGGCATCGTAGCGGGACTAGCAAAACAATCTCTAGGTTGTTCATGTCTAAACAGTGTTGCCGGTGCGAGTGATGTCGCATTGTGGAAAAAGGACAACTTCGCAAGAGAGGTGACAGAGCGACAGCAACGGCTACATCGCAAGCGGGAGGAGAAGAATGCCGAAGAGGAAAAACAGCGCCGGCGAGAAACAGAGCACGCAAAGGCGGTGGCAGGCAGGCTGGCGCATCGCGTTCTCTGCCGTGCCCGCCGGGCACGGGTCCTGGCGCTCGCGCTGTGGAGATGGAGGTTGCAGGCATCGAAGCTCTCAAACTACAGCAGGGCATGGAGGAGAAGCAGGAACGCGAACACAACCAGGTAAAATGGAGTCGCTCGGTCATGGAAGGAGTGCACGGTTGCTCGCTTCGCTGGGTATAATTTCTGCTCTCTCGGTGCCCTTTGAGAAGGTCGAAGTTTTTCCGCAGTGGCGATGTCACCTTGCACGTGCTGACTGATCACTTATTCTTCAAGTCCTTCTCTTTGCTCGCAGTCCACACAATCGTCTTCGCAGGTCCTACCCCTACTCCAGTACTGGGTCTTACACGAGACTTATCTGTGCGGGTAACCTAGTAAATATTTCCGGTGCTCTCCCCCGCTCGGCAGACCACAGCGCTTCTGGAAGGTCTTCGAGAAGAAGTCGCTTCGCTGACGGCGACGGCCTACGAGGGACTGGTGGCGGTTTCAATCGACGCCCTGGAGAGAGAGTTCAACGACAGCGATGCGGATGACCATCAAGGCATGGCCGACCAAAGCGTCGGCAACACCACCACTACAGGTGAGACATCTGCGGAAGGTTGGCAAGAGTCTCGGAAATGAGAGAATCACGGAGGCACACACGGAGTCATTTTCCATGCCCGCATGGCAAAACTTTGAACACCCCGAGCGGTAGCGTGTTGTCAATGTTCTTCCCGACGTTTGTTGCCCTGCCATCGTGGGACCCTTGAGGACACAGGGGGAATTCTGTGAACAGCGACGATGGCAAATGAACTTGACAGCAATAGTATCCTGAGAACGCTCTCACAACGGCGGTGATGCGCTAGGTTTCTTGAGCACGACCTTTCTCAACAACGCCTGTGCTCCTCGCAAGTCGAACTCACCTAAATGGCGAAGCTACACGTACTGATGGCGTGCTGTTTTCAAAAGCTGGCTGTCCATCGAATTTGTCAAGCATCGCCGCTTGTTCTGTCGCCAGTTTCACGCTGGCTGGTAGAGGGCGTGGTGACAACGTCAGCCGGCTGGGTAGAAATGCTCACACGTGTTAGCACCTTCGCAACGCTTCTGGAGCAATACGAATCCCCCTGAAGGCCTGCATCCCATCCTTAACCCCTTGCCAACGACTGTCAGATGCGCAGGACAAGAAAGGCGTAGATCGTGCCGTGACTTCGCTGAAAACGGACATCGCCCTGTGAGTGGGTTTGCCTAGATAAACGGATTACCAGCGAGTCGTACAATACATCCGAGAGTTCCCGAGAGCTGTTCCATGATTCAAACTCGCAAGTTCCACATAGGTGAGAGGGAGTGGACCCAGCTGCACAAGTCATTTCTCACACTATCGGCGAACTACTGGGAGGGTTCTACGCCTTGTGGTATCTGATGCCCTCCGGTACGCTCATACGCAACCTATTTGACAAATGAAATAAGCTTCCATGTGAGTCGAAGCTGACTTCTATGGAAGTGATTCAATGGAAGTGGTCTCCCCTTCTATGGAGGTCACTGTCACTTCCTTCGAAGTTTTATGGCTTCATTGACCTCCATGGACTCTGTTCGTCTGTTTCGGGTTCCATGATGCTTCCATGAAAGCGGTAAACAAATTCCACGCAAGTAATCCGCTTCCATGGAAGCACCCGATATCAACCGCTCGATGCTTCCATGGAAGTCGCATTTCGGACTTCCACGAAGGCGCGACGAGCTTGCATAGAAGTAGTACTTCCATAGAAGCTCGTCGCTCGACAATGTCTCTGCTGTCTCTGTGGAAGCACGAAAAAAACCATAAAAGTAACTTCCGTTGAAGTGCATGACAGAGATCGAAACCGACTTCAGTAGAAGCACCAAAACTTCCATGAAAGCAACTTCCACGGAGGAAGCGTCTAGATACGTGGTCATTCCAGCTTCCTAACCCTAACTTCAACCCTAACCCTAACCCAAAGTAACGTCCACGGAAGGGTCTGGGAATGTGGTCAGTCCAGCTTCCCTACCCTAACCCTGACACCCTGCCCCTGGCCCTAACCCCGAAGAGGACTTCCATGGAAGCTAACCCGAGGCTGAGTACTCCTATGGAAAATACCCTCAACCTGCTTTGAATAGATTCCATGGAAGCTCAAGCTTCGACTTCCATAGAAGCCATTCCACTTCCATGGAAGTTCCATGGGACTTCTGTGGAAGCTGACTTCCATGGACGTGGCACGTCCACATTTTGTATCTAAATTCCATGGAAGTGTCCTTTTGCGCTTCCATGGAAGTGCAAAACGAGTAGCTTCCATGGAAGTGGTCAGCTCCCATGAAAGCGAGGTCGTTGTATTCGTTCCAGGGTCTGCCCGTACTGGCCCAACTGACGCGGCCGCCTTCCGTGGCCACAGCCAAACTGCCCCGAACAGGTTTCATACTATGGCACATACTATTGAGAAATATCAACAGTACACAACGTAACCCCCAACAGATTGAGCCGACTACGAGCGGAGAGAACCAAGTGCCTGGAAGAGTGCCTTGGCGAGATCCACGCCATCAAGGATGCTACAGCAGCTTTTGACGGACCTCCAACACCCACCGTCGCCGCCGCTACCACCGCATACATCAAGCGCGCAGCGGCCTCTAGGACCCCCGCAAAAACTCGAGCCGGTGGAGCAGGCGCCGGAAACGACGGCGATCCAAAAACTAGCCCCAGCGTTAATGGTCCTGGCGAACACGGTGGCACTGGCGTGGCGAACGCCGAGCAACGCGCCTCGTTCCTTGCCGCCGGGCAGCTGGGAAGAGAGGGAGGGACCATTCACCACTCCGAGCGAGATTCTTCTGAACATGTGTTTCGTGGGGGCGGAGGTGATGACCGTCTCTCGTTCCACGCGGCATCTCCATCGCTTTCGGCAACGACAAAGAGCTCCGGCATCAACGGTAGTGGATCTCGAGGGCGCAGACAGGCGGCGGCGGCGGCGGCAGATGCGCGGGCGGGCGACGTGTGGGAGAGCGTCCGCAACAAGGACGACGCGATCCTGGAGAATTTCCTTACTCGGCACACCCGGGAAACATTCGAGCTGCTAGGGGGTAAGGCGAGGCTAGCTCATGCTCGCGCAAGTGGAGTCTGCGAGAATGAGGAGGGGCCGGGGGGGGCGCGGTTCGACGCGGATTCCGGGTGGGGTTCCAGCTTGCTGTGGTGAGAAATTTTGGCTGTTGAGGTCCATGATGAATGTGTTTGGGTCGATGGGGGCAGGTGTCGTCAGGATGCGTTTTCCACTCACTAGGGTTCACATACATCCCTCGCCACCAGACTGATGTGCCAGGCATTGCAGAGCTAAAGAAAGGCCATCCGATTTCGATTGGAATACACACGCGGAGATGTCTACGCCACCAACACTCCTTGCGATATAGTCCCTGTGGTTAATAATTGTTTTCGCGTGTTTGGTAGAACAACTTGATGTCATCAGCACCGCATGACTTTACAGCGTTTTCTGGGCCCTGATACACACCTCCGGCTCCTCACTTAGCATGACTGTGGCCAGCCACTGCCCGCCCCGCCACCCTCGACAACCCGACAGGGCCCTTTTTCGACATTTTTCGGACTTTTCTCTCCCGTCTCCGACCAGCCCCCAGCGGTGGTCGAAACCCGTCACGGCGGGTTCAGTCTCGAGGGAAACGGCGACAACGAACGATTTTTCCGACGTTCGCGGAAGCCCCCGAGAGCCGACAGCCTCCTCGATCGAACCCCCGGTAGGATGCGACGGAGTTCCCGAGAGAAGAATGAGTCTCATGGCATTCTTGTTGGTTTGCCGAAGCGCCGGACTGATTTGGCCGGCTGGTGGCGGCGGCGGGATGGTTGGAGGCGGCCGAGCCAGCCGGAGGGGAGGCGAGAGTCCCGGGCGCGGCCGTCGCCAGGGCGGAGGGGGCCGTGTGAGCGAGGGAAGTCGTGAAGGAGGAAGACGGGCGGGAAGAGAACGAGAACGCGGGCAACAGAAAGCCGAGAAGGGTGTAGCGGAGGCTCCAGCAGATAATATGTTAGTGAGTTGTTGTCTTGGTATTCGTTCATTTGACCGATTGGCCTTGTTCGTACCCTCGTGGTTTCACAAATGGTGACGGCGACAGTCAGACATTATGTATGAAGGGCTTGTAGAGCAGAGACCGCACTCTGTTCCGTAACAGCCCGTCGATGAACGACAAAGGTAGCGGGTACTTGGAGCTCGCTGAATGATCCGCCAGTTGCATAGTCTGTCACCTCCTGTACAGGTTACGGGTCGCACAGGGAGCCCCTTACGTCTTTAGACGGGTGACATCATGTCCGTCAGAGATCCGTTGCCAGTCAGCGTAGAACTATTATGGGTGGCAGAAATTGAAAGCTCGCCGATCACGTCCTCCCATGGCTTCACCCGCACGCCGTTGTGTCGTCCCCAGCGACTCGATCCTTCCGAGGCGGCTCGCATTTTCACTCGCACCATGATAATCTACGGCAGCATGGGCTCAGGAGCGCACCACCACACTGCTACCTGCAACGACCATGAGCGGGACAGCACAGCACAGCATTGTGACCACCGCAGAGCGAAGTCTCCCCGCGACGGTCGGAGAAAGGCAGCCCACGGAAAAGATCAACAAAGTCCCGGTGACTTCAAAGCTTCTCCTGCTCGACGCCACCTTCAACGAACCAAACACATCAAACGAATACGCCCTTTCGACGAACAGCGGGCGAGTGAATCGGGTCGGAGTCGGCGAAATAGCCGACGCCTCCCACCAGAAGGGCTGAACTTCAGACAGTTTGAAACCGCCCTCGAAGGCGTTCTCGAGGTGTTGGCAGTCGATTCCGGACAACCCTGCTTTGGTTGTGGCGGTGGTGGCGGGGAAGATGATAGCGAAAATAATATCGTTGGTTTCGGGGGTACCAGTGAGGGTGGGGAGGGCGATATCGGCAGTGTGGTTGGTGGTGGAAAGACAATACGACAACGAACGGTGAGGATGGCGCCGAGGCTCGCGATGGCCAGTGTTGTTCAACTGGCAAAGGTGCGAGGTTGAAGATATATTTTGGGGCAGGAGTATCGTTTTTTTTGTCCCCGTCCGTGGTTACCTGGAATGTTTGTTGATACCACGACTTTGGGAACATCTCCACTCACTGAGACCAAAGCACCTGCACACATGACCGCGGGTAGCTTTCGACTGTAGTAACACAGCGCATGCACTGATGGGCTAGTGGTGGTGCGTGCGGTGACAGTGCTTGGCACTGACTGTGGGAAAGATGTATTTTTCAACAGTCGCATGGTGTGGTGCATCTACTCTCATCGCCTTTGTGTTTCTGACGCAACGGATTCCTCGGTAAACCTGTGTGGTGCTTTCCGGATGCGCGTATTCCGCAGGAGCTGGCCACGAAAGACCTGCTCGCTAGAGATTGCCATGCGAGAGAGACTTTAGCTCTGCTAGATCCTTCTCTCCAGTGTATCTTGGACGTCAACGAACAGGTAGGAAATGCCGAGACGCAGAGATCATGAACGAACTTCGTCCTGGGGCGCTTCAGAGTAGTAGCCTCTTCTGCGATAGTGCTTTGATTGAGGCCATGCTGTTGAATCACCCGTCCAAGTTGTAGGAAACCTGATTGTTTCGATGAATGCCATGTTTGCTCCCCATTATCCCAGGGGGCGCACAGTTAAGACGCAAAACTCACTTGCTCAGGAGTTCGTGAGCACCACTTTCATTGTTTCACACGCCGCGTGAAAGAGCACTTCCCAACCTCTGCCCTCCGTTACTTCGGCACCCCGTGCGCCGAATTCCTCTCGTCAGATCCTCCACGAGATCTTCGCGCACTACTGTCGTAGGTACGCACTGTCACCAATCCTTCCACGCGGCCACAAAAATACTGCCGTCCCCGGAAGAGCCGTGGGTGGAAGTGGTCTCGGCTGTGTAGGGCGAGGCGGCAGTGACGGGGGGAGAAGCGGGTCGGACATAGTACCACGAATGGCTGCGCTCGGTCTACGCTTCGAAGGAGGAAGGGCGTTTGCGGAAGAATTCGGGCTCACGACGGTGGTGGGTAGGAGTATGTGCGCCTTGCCTGCCTGCGTGCATGCCTGCCTGGTGAGGCTGCAGCTGTTGCTCAAATCTGCGTAGGTCACGGCGGGCCGCGAATCACGAAGCCTACGAGAAGAAAACCATGTAGTTGAAAATGTATTCTTGCTTGCTCAACGGATTGAATCCAACCATGGATTAATAAACGGCTCACACGGTAAATGTTTATCAATAACATCCTGGTTTGCCTTTAGTGTTCGAGATTCGTTTGTTTCAGAAGCATGGAGCAAGCTCGTAATAATATGACTTCGAAGTTTTCCAAACCCTTGACAGCGTAGGACGGACCTGGCCTAAATACCGCTCTTGGAAAACTAAAACCGTTGTCATTGCCCTGTGATTTCGATCACCACCTGCTGTTTGTGCACATCTCCTGTATATCCATCCCCAGACTTATCGCATACCTTACCCGGTCATCGAACTATCCAATACGGAAAATACATCGCTGACGAAACTGGTTTTGCTACATACCACCTCCGAATGGACCCACCAGCTGGCGAGCGCGCAACAGCTGGTAGACTTGTGGGATGTCTCCTATTCCCGCCAGCGCAATGGCCACCATCACTGCGCGGTGAAGGAACCGGGAACGGCGTCAGACAAGATACCGAAGGCGCAGAAAGAAGATTGGAGGGGCGATTCACCGCTACAGTTGAAGATCCTTTCGTTTCCTGGGTTCCTCGATTTCCTAGGGCGGTGAGACACTATTGACGGATTGTTGTAGCTGCTGACAGGATAAAACTCCGGACATTGCTATTGTTATCTTCCTGGTCAGATGCGGAAGCCTGGGTTCGATCTAGCAGCATAATCGCGAGCAAGAAAGCCGACAGAACACAGAAAAATCTAAACGTGAGCCGCCGGCGTGACTCTGACGCCATATTTGGATTTGTTCATAGCCTGCCAAATAAAGAACGACGACGGCAAACGCCGTGGTTCCAAAATCAACAACACAACAACAACGAGGCCAACAACTACAGCTCCAGGAAGCTCCGTTCGTCGTCGCTGTGCACGGCGTCGTCGAGGAATCACTGCTCTCTCCCACTCTCTCTCAATACAATCGCAATTCTCTCTCTCCGTCTGAACCACTGTTGTTCGTTCAGATTCGCTCTAAGGTACTTTCACACGGCGGCAGCATGTGACACGAAGCAATCCGAAGCCACCTCCCTAGTACGAGGGGATAGGCGACTTTCCCCTTCTTCAGCACACGACGCTAGTGGTGGTGGGTATGTCAGACCGTTTGGTGGACACGAGACAGCAAGTGCCACCGCTTTCGGGGAAGCTGATGGCACCGATCACGAGAATTTTATCAACGTTGAACAGGGTGAGGACGTACTCTGGCACTTCCACTCAAAAGAGCAAGATTTTGAACTGGGTGCGGTCCAACGCGAAGATTCTTCGCTAGACGATGTAACGGACTACCCCGGGCGGGCGAGCGACACGCTTCTGCCATATGCTATCACCACAGAGCATAGACAGGGGGGGGGTGTACTCATAGTCGTGCATGCCGTAGTCGTTAGACCATTGACCTCGCATCCCTACAAAGCCGGGACGGAGCACGCCGGGTTCTCACCGGACCAGGCTCTCACATCACCAAGCGCGAAGCGCCGTGAGATATTCGGCGAGTCGCATGAAGGGTGCGCTGCATCCTGCTAAGGGTTTTCGGCATCTTGTGCTTACTTCCTTGCGTACGGATGACAGCTGCGTATGACTTAATTTATTTTCTGGTGCTTTCACTTCCAGAGACAGTTGTAAGCACTGTGTAACTGCCTCGAGGGTGCTTGACCATTTTAACACAACGTGGTGCGATCATCCCCCTTGCGCGGCGTGAGGGTTCTCCACCCCGCACAACATGATCTACTCGACCACCATTATGGTTACCGCCAAAAAAAAAACCGGAGGTAAAAAAACCCCCGATAACCTGGTTGCCGAGGTCACGAAGTGAATTGGCTTGTTTTACAACGTCGTTGCCAAGCGACGAAAACCCAACCCCGATGGCAAACACCGAGGGGGGGGGAGGTGGAGAAGGAGGAAGGACATGGTTGTTTGTTCCAAGCAAGTTGTGATAAAACCCGTCTCCATTCAAGCTATTCGTCGAAAAGCAATCTTGCCCTCAGGCGTTCCTCAATGAACCGCTTATCCAGCTTTTGGACCAATTCTGCTCGACATCGTCTCACTTGCAATGCACCGATACGAAGGCGTTCACACTTGCATGCTGACGCCGAACGTTCAACTCCTGGGGCCAGGCACGTGCTACGGTCGTTCTCAGAGCAATTCTTCTCCGGAACTGTCGGCGTTAGCAGCGATGTGGGCGCTTCTGACCTTGATGGATGCTTCCGGTGCCTGCCACAAAGTGATTCGTCATATCGGAGCAGGAGGGCGCGCCAATGGCTTGAGGAAAGGAACACGAGCTACTGGGTTTCGTTTCCCATCGTGCGGATTCGTCTAGAACAGTGGTGCAGGTTGCAAACCGGCCGTTTGTTTTACGTTGCACCAAGCCCAGGGGCTTTTCAATGTGTTTCCCCTCTCGTTTACCATATATTGCGCCGCTGTGGTAGATTCTGACCACCCTACGTTATGTCAATCGGTGATTATCACATTTTTGTGTGCTTCCATAACGAAGAGTATAGCTTTGTTGTCGAACAGAGAAACTGACAGTTATTGGGAAATGGAAGAAGGGGGGTCATCACATGTTACGTTGCACCAAGCTCAGGGGCTTGTCAATGTGTTTCCCCTCTCGTTTACCATATATTGCTGCCGCTGTGGTAGATTCTGACCACCCTACGTTATATCAATCGGTGATTATCACATTTCTGTGCTTCCATAACGAAGAGTAGTAGCTTTGTTGTCGAACAGAGAAACTGACAGTTATTGGGAAATGGAAGAAGGGGGGTCATCACAGGAAGAATATAAAGAGTATTGTCTAACTCCATGGCGGAGAGCATGTGTGGCTGGAGCAGGTTGTGTTGACGGAAGCTACGAAGCATGTGAAGAAACGGAAGGACGGCAATGTGAAATGGCCGCCCAACGTAGGTGGAAGCAGACCAACATGGTTTTGTGCTTTCTAGGATACTGAGCCCCACATGCATACCAAACAGCCGTGCCCGAACCTCAAGCCCCACTCTCTGCAGTTTCTGCACGTCTCCTAACAGGATGCGATTGCTAGTAGCAACAGGTGGGGTCGCTAGTTCAGAGGCATACAAGTACCTCTCCAAGATTCATACACCAGCCTTTTGTTTTTATCACGACATTTTCATTGTGACTCCCTGGCACATTCAGCGCTCAATGTATGAACAGCTTGTCTGACAACAACGATGCACACTGCTACAACGGCGACGACGAACAAGCGCGCATTTGGTGGAACCAACTTGAGCGCCAGCAATGGCTCACACTCTGCTTCACCATCAAAGTAGGTGAAGTAAAGCAAAAAAACCCCGACCTATTGATCTGTTTCTCAAACAACCGGATTCTTAACCTAAAAAACATCAAGATCCAGGATCGACAAAATCCCGGCTTCAAACGGATTTGTCAGTTTCCGGGTGGCCAAAACCTGGGTAAAGCCCTTTGCGTTGCCGCCTATCAGAAAGTTGGACAAAATCCAGGATGGTGCTCAGCCCGGTTTTCCGTCCCAAAAAATTGGCCGATGGTGCGCCCAGTCGACGTAATCGGCGAGTGCGACGTGAGCAATCGGCGAGTGCGACGTGAGCTCTTGACGCATCGCTCACCAACGCTGCACCAACGCTGTACCAATGCTCGTCGGCAAAGAACAGGGAGAAAATGTACTCGTACGCAAAAACATGAATCCAGAAATGCGCCCATCAGATTACTTCGTCGCCCCCGATGAAGTGGTGAACCGTGCTCCCGTTGTCTCAATCGCCTTGCAACAACCCCCACCCCCCTTTGCCCCCCCCCGGTGTTTGCCATCGGGATTGGGTTTTCGTCGCTTGGCAACGACGTTGTAAAACAAGCCAAATCACTTCGTGAACTCGGCAACCAGGTTACCGTTTATTTTTTTCCCTCCGTTTTTTTTTTTTGGCGGTAACCATAATCGTGGACGAGTAGATCATGCTGTGCGGGGTCGAGAACCCTCACTCCGCGCAAGGGGGATGATCGCACCACGTTGTGTTAAAATGGTCAAGCACCCTCGAGGCAGTTACACAGTGCTTACAACTGTCTCTGGAAGTGAAAGCACCAGAAAATAAATTAATTCATACGCAGCTGTCATCCGTACGCAAGGAAGTAAGCACAAGATGCCGAACACCCTTAGCAGGATGCAGCGCACCCTTCATGCGACTCGCCGAATATCTCACGGCGCTTCGCGCTTGGTGATGTGAGAGCCTGGTCCGGTGAGAACCCGGCGTGCTCCGTCCCGGCTTTGTAGGGATGCGAGGTCAATGGTCTAACGACTACGGCGTGCACGACTATGAGTACCCCCCCCCCCCCCTTTGCTTGTCTCCTCGCCGCGGCCCTGAGCTCCATGCGCTCCATCCACATCGAACAGTGGTCACAAGCATACGCTCAGCACCCCTTCAAAAGCTCGTGTATTTCTTCAGGTCAACATTCAATCCTCGGCGAGCAGCGAGCGGGGAGGTGGGAGGATGGTCAGGGGTTGGGGACACTGCTGCACGCACAACGACTCTTAGGAGGCTTGTGCGCGCGGGAGGGAGGGGGGGTGTTTTTTTTTACGGAAGAGGGGGGGGGAGGGCAGGCAGGATGCAAACATGAGAGAAAAACACCTAGAAGATTGTACTCTGTTTAGCATTTCCTCGACCAGTGTTTTTCACGAAGCACAGCGGCAATGTGCCACGCGTCAGACATGTGGAAGCGCTGCGTCAGACATGTGGAAGCGCTGCGATGTCACGCGATGACACGCAATGTACTCAATTTCAGCATCCTGGTGCTTGTTTTTGGTGCATAATCACTGCTGTTCAGTACACTTCAAGAACGTCATGCAGCAGAGCAAACGAAAAGGCACCGAGAAAAGGGTGCACCAACCAGGGAGCACACAGCAGCAGTAAATAGCACAGAAAGCATACCAACAATAAGCGTGCCGTCGCAAAGCGGAGTGAACTTATTACGTTGGTTTTGTATGCCGGGGGCAAGGTGAGGCGAAGCATACCAAAGTTCGGATGGTTTTCGGGTTTCAACACGCCCGGTGGAGTGTGGCACGACAAAAAAAAACACACTGGAAAGAAACGAGCAAAAGAGCACATGGCGCAATATGGCACAAAAAAAAATAAAATAGCATGTTTCTTGCTGGCGTTGCCTCGCCCAAGGTTGGCTGGTGCTGTTTAGTGGAGGCAACCAAAAGGAGACAAGAAAGACTTGGGCGTTCAGAGAGCTCAGAAGCACCGCAGGTGGTTTGATCCTTTCGGATCTACAGCAGATGGTCGTTTCTGGTACTGTGAGGGACCAATTCGTGCTTGATGCACAAGGTACCGCGGAACCTATCCTATTGCACCCAGCTCCAAGGGTATGTAGGGGCTGATAGCGGCCGAAATGGGGCCTCGCGTCTTACCTTGGGCCAGCGGCGGCAGCCAACGCGAAGTGCAAGTTGGCCCCCGAGAAACCCAGCCCTCCAGCGACAGGATACCGTCAGAGAAAAGCCGAGTCCTCCACCCACAGAGCACGCTAGGCCTCGCTGCCGCCTTCCCCGAGCACCAGGGACGCCGGGGCAATGCGCAAAACTCTCCGCACCGCGGTTGAAGCGGCACAGCGCTAGAAGTCCAAGGGCTGCTGGTGCCTGTGCGAGAAAGGCGGCTGAGGCGGCGCGTTCCGCTTCGACCCCTGTACAACCAGGCCAAGCGCACCAGATGCCGCTCACGCCGCAGTCATCGAGACGCGACGCTGTAAAGATAGAAATGACCGCACGGGGGTTGGGAGGCGAGGGATGCCGCTTGTTCGAGTCGGCGTGCTTGGGACTAGGCGCCGATAGATCGTGTGTCGACCTCACCCGGTCGCAGGATGAGCACACTTTTCTGGTGCTTGGGGAGAGCAAGACTTACCCACACAATCCACTGCCGTGCTTCCGCTGCAGCACACCAATCGACAAGCAGGCCGCTGAGACAGGTCCCCAGCAGTGTGCCCGTGTGGTATTGGGGTATTGGGCGTAATTTTCATGACGACGCCAGCGGGTCGTGATGACGTCATCATCTGGATGGAATCTTCTCAGAATGTTTCTGCGGAGTAGAATTTTTTTTGGTGCTGAAAGGCGACGGTAGCAAAAAAACGCGAAAAACGCAAGATTCATCTTGGCGACCCCTGTGGTATAAGCAGCCTCTCCATTTCCGAATCGTTTGCTTTGGCCTCTTTTCCCTTTGTTGCGTTGGGTCTAGCATCTCAGCTTCATCCAGCATCCACCATCTAATGAGAGGTGCTGCTTCTCCCCGCTGATCACGTTAGATTGACCCAGGGCATGCAACAAGGAATATCTCAGGTGTGTATCAACGTCGCCTTGTTCAGTATCATACTCATGTTTGGATGCGACCTCGGAGGTCCATGAATTGGGGTTTTGCACATAGGAAAAATATATCACACACGCAGAAAGACTTGTACCCGTTCGAGAGATACTGCTGTACCCACATTCTGCATTATTGACCATTTATTTCGTGGACACGTCCGTGGACGTCCGTAGATACGTCCATGGACACGTCCGTGGAGTGTCCATGCACGTTCAAGCATGTCCACGGACGTCCGTGGACGTCCATGGACGTTGTCAGTCGGCATTTTCTTCGACCTGTCCAAGGACATGTATATGTGTCCGTGAACTGTCCGTGGACATGTCCGCGGACAACGTCCATGAACATGTTCATGGACTTGTCCGCGGGACAGTCCACGGACGTCCATGGACGCGTCCACGGATATATATGTCCATGAACGTTGTCCACCAACATGTCCACGGCATGTCCACGGACAAGTCCACGGACGGGTAGTAAGTGTTCGGAAGTCCACTGCTGTCCACTGATGGAGGATCACGTTTCCTTTTGCTCAGTTGACGCGCGCGCGCCCCCCTGCTACAAGTAAGTAGGGGTCTCCCACACTTTCAAGGTTTTGATAATCCGCCCGCCCATGAGCAGCCCATGGACAGCCCATGGGCACCCCAACATCTGCAACCAATCGTGGGGCAGCCCACCACGGTAGTAACCACGTTCGGCATTCCAGTGGGCCGCCCATCGTGGGCAAAATTACAGGGAAACACGGTTTGGCCAAAATCCTCCCTGGTTGACCAAAACGTTTCGTCACAGGTACATGTAGTTTATTTAGTTCCCAATGTACAAAGAAGTACCTTCGTGGTCCCCGCGACCAAGACGGCCAAGAAAAAAAAAAAAGCATGAAAGCGTGAGGGTACTTTCCAACATAGACTACATGTAATCGAATAAAAAAGCAGACGGGTGCGTATCTTGGGGTTTTGTTTGTTTTTTGTTGTTGTTGTCTTCACATTAAAAACCAGTATCTTGGGGTATACTTGCTCAATCGTCGACCCTACTGACACATTTCTCTAACGGCCCATGGGACGCCCATGGGTCACTCATGGGCCGCCCATGGGCTTCATGGCTGGCCATGGGCTGGCCATGGGCGGCCCATGAAGTGCCCCACGTGGGCCCTTCAACCTAGAACTTCGCCACCGGCATATCAACCTAGAACTTATCCACCTTCATATCAACCTAGAACCTAGGCACCAGCGCCAACTTAACACCCATAGACGTGTAGACAATCTATGCTTCAGCTCTAGAGCGCTGAGATGGCGGCGGCGAGTCTAGGCCCCAGACTAAACCCGAGACGTTCTTCCGCTGGCCCACGTCAGAGCTCCGGCGGACGTCTCTTCTTGAGGGCGTCCCCAGCAAAGTCTTTCCACCGCCTTCCGCCCGTCGCGCGGCTGAACCTTCGCGCTCCTCCAGCCCTGCACCACCGCGAAGACCGCCCAAATCGGTCGAAACCGGCCGATTCCCCCCTGCGTTCCAGAGAGTCTACGTCGGGCTGTTCGTTAAGTCTAAAAGATAAAGGACTCCGATTTGAGGGCTTTTGGCAGAGAACGTCAACGTCGAGTAACGTCAACACCCCGTCTAATATCGGCGGGCCTTTTTCTCCCTCTTCGCGAACGTAATGAAACCCTAAGGCCACATCAGCAGCAGTAGCATACAACAGTACACGTGTCATGTATCTCCGGCCCACAGTTTCAAGTTTGAACGCTCAGTAGCCTGCAATTAGGCTGAGCTTTTTCAACACACAGACAGGCACTCGCACGTCAACGCACGCGCACGACCAAGTCCATGACTACAACACGTACATGGCATATTTGACTCTTAACGCGCCAAAAGTATACCGTGCGTGCATGTAGGAGACAAGATTGATGATGGTCTTTATCTGGGAATGTGTTGTTGTGATGATGGTTGAAATAGACCGAAATTGAAGGCTGAGGTACGTGCTGTACAGTATCCTGTTGACCTGGACAAGCATTTCACGAAGGCATTTCGTTCGCAGCTATTTGAAGGCGACCACAACAATAGACTTAGACTATACAGCAGAAATACATGCATGCATCCGATATGTATATCATGTACACTAGTCTACACGCGCTTTGTCTCGTAGATAAGCTGCTGTGTACACATTCGACCAACACGACGCATCTCACGGAATACGTGCCCGGCAGCATCTACGCGCAGGAGAAAGAATTACATACAGCAACCATACGGACGTTTGGTGGTCTAAATCTATCTGTGAACGATGAACCATTTACTGGAACTTTGGTGGTCCCTGAGGATCGTCACCAGGCACACCAGCAGAGTGTTTCATCTTCGTTTGTTGATAACGGTGTAGAGTAAATGTGCCGATTAAGGACCACTTATCGGAGCCCCCGTTCGGAGAGGTCGTTCTCGGGTGTCTTGACGATTTGTGGCGACAGAGAGGTATCGAACGTTAGCTTATACCACGACCTAAACGATGAAACAACAAAAAACAAAAAAAATGCATGTGGTGATGAAATGGTGCCAGCGTAGTATTCTTCATTTGTCAGGGAAAAATACCGGTAAAACAAATGCCCCGATTAAGGACCACTTCGAATTCGTAGTGATTGCGCACGTTCTAATGATTTCCAGAACTTTTCCTTTGGCAAGTATCGTCATGGTAGTAATACAAAGCATTTCCGAAAACAATATTTAAAAAAACATTCATGCCCGGGGACAAAAACAAGAAATTTGCCTGTGTTCGGGCCAAAAATGGCCTACTTTGGGCACCCCGCAATGAGATTTCAAGTGTTGTTTTGCCCGTTTTTTCTTCGGCATCGTGGCAAGCATCCCTAGAATAGACACTATGCAAATTTTTGTTGTCATCCGGGTTGATTTAGTCTCTATCTGACATACAGACGCGATTTTTGCCCCCGTTTGGACGAAAATCGAGGGGGCAAAATAGAAAAAAAAGGGAAAAATGCGGATGAAAAAACAAAATGTACGACCCAAGGTTCGAACCCCCTCGTACTGGGTCTATGGAGAGCGACAAAACACGAAGCCATAAAGTGGCATACGCCACTCTGGAAAACTGCCATTTTATAGGTCAATATTATAACCTGGCTTAGCCGGAGCCACCACACAGCACCAAAAAAAAAACAGCATACATCACCTGGCGCAGAATGCTGCGTAGAACGAAGTCCTCCACCAAATTGAGTAAACTTAGGCTTAAATGAAAGGTGAGGTCCATAGCAACACGAAGAAAAAAACAGAAAGGCTTTCCGCGATGGTATCGGCAAGATACGTTTTTTTTTTGAATGGTCCCTAATAGAGGGGGGGGGGGGGGG